GTTTATCCCTGAGACTGATGCTGCGAATGTAGCTGCTGTTTTGGATAGCATTGATGGGGGTGCTGATTTTGACTTCGGTGCGGCCGCGCTTGGCCCTGGTGCGTCCCCGTTTGCTCTTGGTTCGACTGAAAAGTCCGTTGACATCAACCGCTTCCACCGCTCCCTTGCCCACGCTTGCGAGCCCCTTTTGAGAGAAACCGCCCAGCAGAGAGGCATCGTGCTCACCGGCAAGCTGGAACCGTGCACGGACTGCATGAAGGCGAAGGGCAGGCGAGGGTCGGTGCCGCGGGGGCCGGGAGCGCGGGCGTCCAAGCCACTCGGGCGTGTTCACCTGGACTTGTGTGGACCGCTGGTGCCTTCCCTGGGCGGCAACCTCTACCTGTTCGTCGCCGTCGACAGCGCCTCGCGGTGGAACAAGGTCTACGGTCTCCGGCGGAAGTCCGACGCGCTGGCGGCAACGAAAAGGCTGCTGGCGGACGTGGGGCGGTACGACCTCGGGCGCATCGAGTGTTTCCGCGTCGACAACGGCACCGAGTGGACCCGTGGCGACTTCCGGCAATTCTGCGACGACAACGGCATCGGCGTCGAGTTCACCCCGCCTGGCACTCCGAAGTACAACGGCGTCGTCGAGAGCGCCATCTGGCGGATTATGAAGGCCGGCATGGCCGCCCGCCGCAGCGCTGGCCGTGTGTTCAACGTCGACTTCGCCTCCATCCCCGGCCTCGACGAGCGCGGTGACCGTCTTTGGATGGAATCGGCGAAGTGGGCCGCCGACGCTCTTAACCAGTCGGCGACCAAGGCCAACCCCGGGCGGCGCTCGCCGCACGAGATGTTCACCGGCGAGCAAGGGCCGTTCCGCGTGCTGCCGTTCTTCCAGCCCGGCTTCATGCGCGAGGATCGCCGCACCAAGCTCGACGACCAGGCCACCCTCTGCTTCTACCTGAACGGCGGCGACAACCACCCGAGCGGCACCGTCAAGGTCCTCAAGGCGTCCACCGGTCGCGTCGTCTACACCAACAACGTGTCGTGGGTGACGTCGGCGCCAGCCGGCGAGGGGGGTTCCGCTGGTATCACCGCTGCACCGACACCCCCCCCGTTCACGCCGCCGGTCGTCTCGATCAACTTTGGCCCAGCACCGACGCCTTCGACTGCCGCAACGCCACCTGCCGCAACGCCGCCGCCAGCGACCACGCCGCCGTCCGCTCCCACGCCTTCACAGCCGCCCTCTGCCACTCGCCGCCACCGTCGGCGACCCCCGCCCCTGGCCAGCCGTCTTCTGCCTCTTCGCCGTCACCGTTGGCGACCCTCGATCCAGACCAGCCGCCGCCGCCGGACCCCGCGATGCCCCCGCTTACGGCTCACGCCATGCGGCAGCTTCGCCCGGGTACAAAGGCCGAGGGTATGATAGACCCGCGGCTGCCAAGCCGAACGAGATCGGGCACGAGGCACAGCACAGGACTCATCTCGATGCTAGACAAGAACACTCTGGTGTCGATGCTGGAGGCTCGGAGCGCGGTGGATGAGGAGCGCAGGGAGCTGGGGGGGGCGGAGGCCGGAGAGCCGGGGGGAGCGGGGGCCGGAGAACAGGCGGGAGCACTCGCAGCGGTGGACCCGGGGGCTGGAGGAGCGGGCTTTCCACTCGCATTTGCCACGCTCCTCGCCAACCGGGAAGACATCGACGCCACGCTGCGAGACCAGCGCCCGCCGGAGCAACGCCCTGACCTTCCTCACTGCCAGGCCAGCGACCTTCGTGTCCCCAAGAGCTACAAAGAGGCCATGGCGTCGGAGCACCGGCACCTTTGGAGCGACTCTATGCAAAGGGAGTTTTACGGCTTGTTGGAAGCAGGGACTTTTACTCCGGCGAAGTAGCAACTAGTGGAGAACGCAATTAACGCTAAGTGGGTATTCGATTGGAAGGCAGATGAATTTGGATGGCCCACTAAGGTGAAGTCGAGACTTGTAGCGAGAGGTGATATGCAGAGAGAGTACATTGACTTTGGAGAGCTGTACGCGCCTACCGTTTCTGTTTCGTGTGTTAGGATGTTGGCTGCGTTGGCGTGCGAGTTAAATCTCGACTTGTGTCATTTCGATATTGAGCAAGCTTTTGTGCGCTCGGAGTTGGAGGAAGACGTGTACATGCGTTTGCCACAGGGATGTGGAGCTCTATCTGGAATGATTGTAAAACTAGGCAAGAGTCTGTATGGCTTGAGACAGGCATCTAGGCAGTGGCATGCAATGCTGAAGAGGTGTTTAGTGGCGTTAGGTTTTGAGCAGTGCATGGCCGATGCTTGTGTGTTTCGTTTGATTGAGGATGGATGTGTTGTTTTGATTTTGGTAGTACATGTAGATGACATTTTTGCTGTGGGAGAGAGGGAGAGATGTGATAAGTTTGGCGCCGACCTTAACAAGTCCGTGCCAGTGAAGAACCTGGGAGAGTTGAGATGGTATTCTGGGTGCTTTTACGAGAGGAACAAGGAGACCGGAAGGTTGACGATTTCTCAGCAGACTTTCGCGGACGAGCTAGCAGCAGAATATGGAGTAGTGGGAGGTAAGAGCGTTCCGATGTCTTCGGGGGTGAAGCTTTCTGATTTTGATGCGGATGAGGTGGCGACAGACTTTCCGTTTCGTGAGCTGGTAGGATCGTTGATGTGGCTGGCGACTCAAACTAGGCCAGACATTGCGAATGCTGTAAGGGCAGTAGCTAGGTATTGCGCATCTCCGAAGCTGGTACACTGGAATGCAGCGATGGATATTTTAGGCTATGCGAGGAGGACGAGTCACTTTGGTATTTCGTTTCAGAGGGGTACAGTAGAAGGATTCAGCTTGCAGGGGTACGCTGATGCGGACTTTGCAAGCAAGGCAGCAGACCGTAGGTCGGTATCAGGGGGAATCGTGACGTGTGGAGGAGGCGCTGTGTCTTGGTTTTCCAGAACGCAAAAGTGCGTCACGCTTTCGACGACAGAAGCAGAGTACGTCGCGCTTGGTGACATAGTGAAGGAGATTTTGTTTTTGAGGCAGATTTGGCGTTTCATGTTGCCGCAGGTCGGCATGCCGTGTATCCCCGTCTTCGAGGACAACCAGGGGGCGATTCAACTAGCGCAGAACCCCATCTCCAACTCGAACTCGAAGCACATAGATGTAAGGCACCCTTTTCTCAGGGAACTGGTAGAGAGGAAG